AGACTCAAGAATACCTTCAGAACCCAGAGAGCCTGCTTTTTTTGTGGGTGGGACCGTTTGGGGTTCTTAAGGTAGGGTTTATTAGGCGCAGTTTAGAGTCTACAGTTCACTCCATAGCCTCTTGTGCACCTCAAGGCACTTTGAAACGCAGGGTTTAGGGTTCAGGGTTAGGGTTTAGGGTTTAACTACAGCTTCGCGCCTCAAGCCCTCAACCTCAACCCAACAGTCGCAAGGACCCAGCAGCATACCGTAAAACCCGCAACCCGTCCCAATTTTCGGTCGGTGGCCCATGGGCCAGCAGCCCGGTTGGCTTCCGGTGACCCCGGCTTTGCTTTCAGAGGGGTGTAGATGGAGGTTCAAGGTACCAAGTAGATGGGGAGGGGGAGGAGAGTGGGTTCAGGGCCTAGCACACAGGAACAGAAGCTCGAATGTTGAGATGATCCTCTGGGCTGGTGGGGGGGTGGGGGGTGGGGGGCGGGGCGGGGGGGGGGGGGGGGGGGGGGGGGGGAGAGGATAGCAACCCCAAACCATTCTGTCGCTTCATTTTGTTTGGGGGGGGGGGGAAAGGGGTGGGGTGATGTCGCTGCAACCCTAAACCCCAAACTCTAAACCCTAAACCCCAAACCCCAAACCCTAAACCCACAACTAGCGCACGCGCAGGCAGGGAAGGGTTTAGGGTTCAGGGTACAGGATTTAGGGTTTAGGGTTCCGGGTTTAGGGTTTAGGATTTAGGGCATTTCCCCCTTGCCTTCATTCCATACAAGTATTGGGTTCGGAGGGTTAGGTTTAGGGTTCAAGGGTGTGAGGGTTTCAGAATCTCAGGCGTTTCAGGCGTTTGGGAGGTTCTAGCCTCAGGGCTGTGAGAGAGGGAGGGAGGTCATGTTTGACTGGGCCACCGCAAGTTGCAGAACCACATAATTCGGAAGCCCGAATGAAACCGAAGCACAAAAGAGCCTTGGGTGTTGGGCTATGAGGAGAAGAGTCTGGGCTCGAACAAAAAGAGTTCAGGGACTTCAGGGTTTTTCGTGGCCCTAAACCCTAAGCCCCAAAACCTAAACCCCAAACCCTAAACCCTAGCCCTAAACCCCAAACCCTAAACCCTAAACCCTAAACCCTAAACCCTAAACCCTAAACCCTGTGGGCCTTCTTCCTGGACCCAGGCTTGGTGGCCTTCTTCGTAATGGCTACTCCTGGGGAATCTCCCGCGGAGGAGGGTTGCCCCGGCCTTTTTTTTTTTTTTTTTGGGGGGGGGGGTGGGGGGGGGGGGGGGGGGGGGGGTTAGGGTTTAGGGTTTAGGGTTTAGGGTTTTAGGGTTTTTAGGGTTTAGGGTTTAGGGTTAGGGTTTAGGGTTTAGGGTTTAGGGTTTAGGGTTTAGGGTTTAGGGTTTAGGGTTCAGGGTTCAGGGTTCAGGGTTCAGGGTTCAGGGTTTAGGGTTTAGAGGGGGGTTTGGGCTTCGGGCTTCGGGCAGGAACGGGATGTAGGGTCCCAGAAGCTCAAAATGGCCATGCTTGAAACCCTGAACCCCAAACCGCAAGCCCTGCACCCTACACCCTACACCCTACCTTAAGGAGAGGACTCCCTTCGCTTGTTTAAGGTGTCTCTTGAGTTGCATACTTTCGGGCTCTTTGGGTCCTTGGTCTCCCCTGGGCGTTTTGGCCTTAGGGTTTAGGGTTCAGGGTTTAGGGTCTGGGTTTAGTGACGAAAGAGTCTGGGTTCATGAAGGATTTAGGGTCGTGGGACTCTACCTCGGGCCATTAACTTGGGTTGGGTTACGCTTTTTCAAGATCCCCTAGCGGAATGCACGGGTTATAGTAGGAGTATATCAAGGGAACCTCTCAGGGGTACATCCTCAGGCGTCCGAGTATGACTCCCTTGATAGGGTATCACAAGCTCTGCAAACCTGACATTCTGCACCCTAAGCCTTAAACCACAGTCCCCCCAAAATCCAGCTGCTCCACATTCCCGCAAACCATGTCCCCAGAGAGAGAGAAGATACCGAACTTCTATTATAGTTTCCGGTGCGTCGTGCCCCTTATAGGTTCTACGGCTAGAGAAGACTTATATCTTGTGTGTAAGAGGCTTATACAAACAGTATCTACCCACCTCTGACTCCTTTGTAACGGGCTCTTTGGGAATCAGGGAGTAGGTACCTCTTCCCCCTCCCCATTAAGAAACTAGGTAGGGTACCTCAACCATATAGAGCCAAAGTACCTTATATCTAAGGGCACAAGTTTTCCAGCGATAGTAATTTAAAAGAGGGCACGTAGCTGCCAGGTCCAGATGCCAAGAAGGCCAAGCTAAATACTCCGCCCCTGGGACGTCAGGGTTGAAGTTGAAGGTTCTGGGTTTAGGGTTTCATGTAGCTTCCTCAAGGGTTGATAGAAGTTTCTAGGGCCATTGACCATTATGGTGGTGAGGATTTAGGGCTAGGGTTGACAGAAGTTTCTGGGACCATTGACCACTATCGTGTTTAGGATGGGTGGGCAGGGTGCTTTTAAAGATTCATGGCTTAAGGTTTGTAGGGTCTCAAGGTTTTGTTGCAGCGAGCAGGGGCTTCTTCACGGCATGAAGTTTGCAGGTTTAGGACTTACGGGGGATTTAGAGGCGTGCGGGCGGCACTGGCACGGCCCCAAAGCCCTAAACTCGAACCCCGAACCCCATAACTCCAAACGCACAGGCCTCAACTCTAAACCCCAAACCCTCGACTCCAAAACAATACATCAGACAAAAATGAACATACACATGGAACTACGGGCCGGTGCGCCCAGGGCAAGAACGCTGTAGGGTTTAGGGCTTCGGGTTTGGCGGAAGCTTTGCAAAACTGAGGGCTCAGGATTTAGGACTCAAGATTCGGAGCAGTTAAGTTCAGAGTTCGGGGTTGACAGAGTGGGTTTCAAGATTCAGGCCATACAAGTCAGAGCATGTCAGGGTTTAAGGTGAATAATGCTTAGGCTTTAATTTTTTTCGACGGGGTTCAGGGATTAGTTCAGAGTTATGGTTCAGGGTTGTAGACCACCTCACGTCATACGAGCCACTGCCGTATGGGACGAACGGGTTCTGAAGGTAGGGTGGCGGGCTTATTCAGGGACTTCTTGGGAATGCACTGGCGGAGGCTGACCGGAGACACAGCTGGCAAAAGAGAGGATGAGGCAGATGCCACCATCACCAAGCGAGAGCAGCAGGTCTGGAGCCTTGCCACTCAACAGGCAGGCAGGAACAGCCCGCGCCCCGTCCCCAAGGAATTCTACACTGCTAAACCGCGTTGCTCGGACTGGGGCCCCAAGCTTGCCATTCGTGCGCGTTTCTGCTCAGCAACATCTGGAATGAAAGTGGAACCCTGCGCCGAAGCGATCGCCAGGGCCTGGCTGGTTGTCTTGCATGTTGGCGCCGCGTTTTGGGGACAGCGCTTCAAGGAACCAATGCCTGGGCTGGAGGGTTCGTCTTCCGTCTTTGGTTTGTGCTGTAGATTCAGGAGCTGTTTGCAGGGTTTCCTGCCCTAAGCCGTATTACAGGGCTTGAGCGGCAGTGAAGCCTGTACCCCTAGATGCTAGACCCCAAACCCTCAACCCTAATCACACCCCCCGAAATCCTACACCTCCAACAGAAACAAAGATCTACACCCCAAGATCCGACACCCATAACCCTACTACACCCCTGGACCCCAAGCGCTAAACCCCTAATCCCCTCCTCTAAACCCCTAAACCCCTAAACCCCTAAGCCCCTAAGCCCCTAAACCCCTAAACCCCTCATCCCCTCCCCTTAACCCTAAATCAACCCTAAACCCTAAACCCTAAATAAACCCCCGAAGCCCCTGAGGCCCCCAAGGCCTGCCATCTTTCCCCAAACCCTAAACCCTAAACCGACCCTAAACCCTAAACCCTATATTTATAAACCCTAAATAAACCCTCGAAGCCCATCTTTCCCCAAACGACCTGAGGCCACCACTGCCACCTCCTCCGCCTCCCGTGCCAGTTGCTGCAGGCAAGCTTCCAGCTCCAACGATGTTTTAGGTTTGGAGGGTTTAGGGTTTAGGGTTTAGGGGGTTTAGGGGGTTTAGGGGGGTTTAGGGGGTTTAGGGGGTTTAGGGCTTTGAGGGGTTGCAGGGTTTGGAGGGTGGAGAGACTCTGGAGGGCTTGGAGGGGTGGAGAGGGTTTGGAAGGTTTAGAGGGGCTGGAGGGTTTGGAGGGGTTAGTGTTTAGGGTTTAGGGTTTAGGGTTTTGGTTTTGGGTTTAGGGTTTAGGGTTTAGGGTTTAGGGTTTAGGGTTTAGGGTTTAGGGTTTAGGGTTTAGGGTTTAGGGTTTAGGGTTTAGGGTTTAGGGTAGTGTTGATAGATAAGCCTTACGTTAGCTCTATGTAAGGGTACACAGCTGGCAACTCCTTAGGCTTTGGCTGCTGGAATGCTGCCGTATTTCTCTAGCTACCATTGGAACAATAACGCTAACCCCTCAAGCCCCACAGCCACATGATGGTAATCAGCCAGAAACACCTAGTTCCTTGAAACGGAACCCCATTATTCACAAGGGGCGCCGAAATACGAGCGATTATGGACTATTGCCAAATAGTTACGGAAAAGCTGTTATGACGCAAAATAAATATACTCGCTAGGGTCTCTGTGCGGGCTTTGCCGTGGGGAGTACCTAGGCCTAAACCCTAAACCCTAAACCCTAAACCCCCAGCCCCTAAATTATGGAGAGGGGGGGGGGGGGGTCGATCTTTGAAGGCTTCAGGTTCCAAGGAGTTTAGGGCGTAGGGCTTATAGGATTGAGGGTTTAGGGTTTCTAGGACCCGGAGTAGGCCCTTGCCTTAGTTCCTTTTTTTGAAAGGGGGTTGGAATTCCCTCATAATCCCCTTGAAACCAAAAAGGGCACTCCTTTGTATTCCCAGGCTACTCCTGGGTTTAGGGTTTAGGGTTTAGGGTTTAGGGTTTAGGGTTTAGGGTTTAGGGTTTAGGGTTTAGGGTTTAGGGTTTAGGGTTTAGGGTTTAGGCATTCGGCCCAGGCATGCAGCACCACGGGGCTGCTAATGGCCAACGAGCGCTAGGCCGAGAGATGGTTTGGCTCAGGGGTGGAGGGTTTAGGGGTTTAGGTTTCCCTAAGCCCTAAACCCTAAACCCTAAACCCTAAACCCTAAACCCGATACTATGAACCTCCAAGTAGGGTTTCGAGTGCAGGGGATGAAATGGGTTGAGGTAGGGCGTACAGAGATTTCAGGGTGTTGGATGCCCTGGCTTCGAAAGGGAACCCGAAGCCCTGGCCCCAAAACCCTAAACCTTCGACGAAACCTGAAACCCTAAACCCCAAAAACCCTGAACCCCACCTAACGAATGGGGCTTTTTTTTGCAACGAACTCATCCCTAAACCCTAAAAACCTAAACCCTAAAACCTAAGCCCTAGAACCTAAACCCTAAAACCTAAAACCTAAACCCTAAAACCTAAACCCTAAAACCTGAAACCTGAGCTCTACAACCTAAACCCTAAATCCTAAGCCCTAAAACCCTAAAACCTAAACCCCCAACTGCGGCTCCCAACTCTCCAGCTGGGCTTGGGTTTTGAAGGGTGCATCGTGGCTGGGACAGAAAACCGGTTTAGTGTTTAGGGCTTCGGGTTTGGGGTTTAGGGTTCGGGGTTTAGGGTTTTGGGTTTAGGGTTGACAAAGGCAAGGTTCAGGGGCTTGAGTGTTTCGGGTTTAGGGTTAGCTGGCCGGATGGTCCCGGTATTCAGAAGGGTTAATTATACAGACCGTACCTCCCGTTTCCCAGACTAAACCCGATTCTAATTGTGTTTAGTGACTGCGCATTGCACTCCAAACGTACCAGTCTGCACCACGTTGCGCAAACACCCCTGGTTCAAATCCCCACCTGCCCAAGTTCAAGTTCTAAGATCCTGTAAGCTCAAGCCAAATCAGCGTTTGCAAAGTAACGGTTAAGTCTCTCTCCTACCTTCCTGCTCTCACCTTCCCGGCCCTAGATTCTTTCTGCCTCCGAATCAGTAGACATCAGCCAGCCTGGAGAACCTTGACCTCTCAGCGTGCAGTACAAACTCACGTGGCTCTTTGTTGGCCCACAACTTGCAGCACTAAACCCTAAACCCTAAACCCTAAACCCTAAACCCTAAACCGCCCTGAACCCTAAACCCTGGGGCCTGGATACCTCGCAAACTTGGGTTCTGAAGTTATCTGTACACAGCATTCCCTCTTCAGTTGCCCCATATGGAGACTCCCTAGACAGGTGGCAAAAAAAAACCCTAAACCCTAAACCCTAAACCCTAAACCCTAAACCCTAAACCCTAAACTGCCCTGAACCCTAAACCCTGGGGCCAGGGAGCAAGTGGAGGGTTCAGGGAGCCATCCGGCCCCTGGCTCTTGCAAACCCCCCGAAGCTCGAAGAGCCCCAGAAGAAGCCTGAGAAGGGGTAGGGTGCGAGGCTTTAGGGTTTAGGGTTTAGGGTTGAGGGTTGAGGGTTTAGGGTTTAGGGTTTAGGGTTTAGGGCTTAGGGCTTAGGGTTTAGGGTTTAGGGTTAGTACCCTTGTAATCCCCATATAACACTTGTAAACCCAGAGCAACTTAGTTTCTGTAGGGCCCCCAAACCTAGTGAGGCGCCCTGAACCCTAAGCGCGCTTCCGCGACCAAAGCCCAACGACTAAAGCCCTTCATGGGACTTTAGAAGACTCTATAAGGGTGTACGAACATAGGGGACCCCCTAAAATAGACCCCCACATAGTGGGATTCCCTTTATATAAGGACCCCCAATAAGGCACCGCTAATTTCGGAAACCCTAAACACTAAACACCATTTCCCTTTTAAACCCTCAACCCTAAACACCATTTGCCTTGGCAGGGCCGGGAATGACGGCCTTACTCACACAGATGGCCGCCCGGGGGGTGACCAAGACACAGCACCTCTGCGAAAAAGGGGTTCAGGGTTCAGGGTTTGGCAGAGTCCAGATGAAGAAACAAGGGGGTTTAGGGTTAGGATTTAGGGTTTAGGGCTTGGAGCCGACTGATTTTAGGGTGTTGAAACTCCGCCTTACCCGACACACTGCTGGGATGTTCGCAGGGCGTTGCTTTGCCTCGTATCTTTTGATTCAGGGCCCGGGTTCAGGGTTTAGGGCTTAGGGTTTGGAACCAAAGCTGAAGGCCTACGAGCCTGAAAGTCCAAACCCAAGCCCAGCATCGCTAAAACCAGAGTTTAGGCTTTCAGAAGTCCGGATGCAAAAGGGGCCAAAGGGACATTCTCGAAGCAGCCCTAAACCCCAAATGGCAATGCTATGGGCTGGCCTGTGAAAGCTCACCCTAAACCCTAAACCCTAAGCCCTAACTAAGCCTAAACCCTAAACCGGGGGCGGGCTTGACACGCCCCCCCCCCCCCTTTTGCACATGCCCCTGCGCAGCGAGACGCGCCTTAAGACTGAACACTTAGGGTTTAGGGTTTAGGGTTTAGGGTTTAGGGCTTAGGGTACTCCACCCAGGAGTCTTCAAGACCCCCTAGAGCCCTGAAGGATAGGCCCTGGTGGTCAGCTGGTTGGCAGCCAAGGCCTGCTGATTCTGAGCGTGGGGGGGGAGGGACAAGGGTTTAGGGTTTAGGGTTTAGGGTTCAGGGTTCAGGGTTCAGGGTTTAGTTTTTGGGGTTTTCAGGCTTTCAGGTTCCAGTTCATGGGAGAAGTCCACCACGAGGTTTACAGGCTTCTGTTGAGTCAACTTCAAGCCGGCCTGAACACTAGACCTTAAACCCTCTGACATGAATTTGTGTTTAGGGTTTACGGTTTCGGGCTTAGGGTTTAGGGTTTCGGATTTAGGTAGAGGGAGTTGCCCTCATCCCTTCCACCTAAACCTTGCTAGCCCAATGGTAGGGTTTAGGGTTTAGGGTTTAGGGTTTAGGGTTTAGGGTTTAGGGTTTAGGGTTTAGGGTTTAGGGTTTAGGGTTTAGGGTTTAGGGTTTAGGGTTTACCCTTTACCCTTTTTTGGGTTCTGGGTTCCCTATATCTAGCAACCCACCAACCAACAAAAGGGGGCACCCTTCTTCCCCAGACCCCTGGCAGGATCCAAAAAAGGGAGCCCCCAAATAGTACCACATACTACTATTGCGTCTTTCTTAGGAACCCTTAAGGGGATCCATTTTCACCCTTATACTTACAGCCCTTAATAGATTTTTTTAGGGGGGGGGGGGGGTACTATCATCCCTACTAAAGACTGTTACTATAAGGGTGAACGTCCCAAGTTTCGCCCATGAAACGAGGAGCTTGTTCCATGCTTCCCTTACCGGGCCCGCCGTGCATCTCGGACGAGAGGTGTAGCTTAGGGTTTAGGGTTTAGGGTTTAGGGTTTAGGGTTTAGGGTTTAGGGTTTAGGGTTTAGGGTTTAGGGTTTAGGGTTTAGGGTTTAGGGTTTAGGGCTATGTTGGTTCGAAGGGCCCGAAGCCCGAGCTCCCCTTTTCAAGGAGGGTTCTGCCGATTTCAGTTTTGTTCCACCTGATTGCGTGAACACCCTGGACTGAGCTCTGTTGCCTGCAACCCCCTGAAAACCGCAAACCTTTGAGCTTCAGATCATAAAATGCCTAAACCCCTGCACCCCTCAAGCAAAACTGCTAGACCCCTAAGTGCGACAGTGGACTCTGAAAAGTGATGCCACACTCGTCAACCCAAATCCTATAACCTTGCAGCCTTGTGGAGCATAGACGCCACAACAAAAGAACACTGAACCCTCGAAATTCACAGGCCCTAGATCCCGACACCCCAAAAGCAAAAGAAATGCAAAGCCTTCCTCAAGGCAGTCAGTTCTACTTACCCTCAACCATACCTTCAAGGCTCCTCTGTAGTGCCTTTTTGGGGGTAGTATGCTAGAGTTCCCTTCAGCTAACCCGAAAGGGAACTACGCTTTTTCAGCCTTCAGGCCCTAAACCCTAAAACCCGAAACCCTAAAACCCTAAACCCGAAACCCTAAAAACCCTAAACCCTAAACCCCAAACCCTAAACCCTAAAACCCCAAAACCCTAAAACCCTAAAACCCTAAGACCCTAAAACCCTAAAACCCTAACCCCTAAAACCCTAAACCCTAAAGCCCTTCCTTTGCAAGGTATGGGCATGCAGGGAGCCTGCGTCGGTCAAGGCATGCTGTCGCCCATGGGTGCCTGCGGGGTGCTCCGGACGCCAGCTTTCCGGGGTGGGGGGGGGTTAGGGTTTGGGGTTTAGGGTTTGGGATTTGGGGTTTGGGGTTTAGAGTTTAGGGTTGAGGGTTTAGGGCTGCCAGTTTTCCAGGAATAGGCGGGGGTGGCGGGGGTGGGGGGGAATGGAGGTTCATGTGTACTCCTAACCCCAAGTATAAGTCTACTTTTTACCTACCTAGAGGACTTGGGGTGATGATAGGTGCAGTTATATTGGGGAGGTATAAGTACCCTAAACCTCCAAGCATAGGCTTTAGGTCTTGCCTTGACACGGGCCCCCTGTAACCTGCGACGCAAGTCCTTGCCAGATGAAAAGGAGCACCTTCCACATAATTACCCTAAACCCTACATCTGGAACGGCCTAAATTTGCATGGCCCAAAACTCTCACCAGAAGGCGAGCCTTAAACCCTGAACCCTAAAACGCAGTACCCAAAGCGACATGACACGAGCACCCGAGAGGGGGGCTCCTAAAGCTTCAAGAGCCTCCGGGGGCGCAGGGCTTGCGGATAATTAGTCTTATATGGTCAGAACAAACCTGATATTGCAACAGCCAGATTAGAAGAATAGAAGAGCCGAATCATAGACGAATATAATGTATAGGGTGTTGAGTTTGAGTTTCGGCATCAGGCTCATGCAGTGAAGCCTCAGATCATCAGCCCCGCGCCATGCCGTAGCACGCCAATGACTTGCTTCCACCCCCCCTCAAGAGCATTCCGCGCAGAGTTGAGCTGCACGAAACCCCAACCTCCCCTGAAGCTATGGCTTAGGCGTTAGGGTTTAGGGTTCTGCTTCAAACTCAAAAACTACAAGAGCTCCTGCCATACTTGAGGTCACTAATTCGTCCTGCCTGGCGCTACCCGGGCCGCCAGCTGCTGGACGGCCTGTGCGCCCTGGATGGTTGTGGCTGCCTCCAGGGTCTTGGGTGCAGGGGCTCGCTATTGCTTCCAGAGCTTATCAAGTGTATATCTGTAGAACATATAGATATGTACATTATATCTTACTATGTTATAGTAGACTATAGTATATTATACTACATGGTATTATATACTATTTTGTTACATCATACTATATTACATTATATGATATGATATTTTAGTATATTATATTATGTGATATTGTATTATCTTGTATTACATTGTAATATATTGTATTACATTGTATTACCATTGTATTACACTGTATTACATTGTATTACATTGTATTACATTGTATTACATTGTATTACATTGTATTACATTGTACTACATTGTATTACATTGTATTACATTGTATTATATTATACTATATTAGGGCTCCGTATGAATTGGGTTTAAGGGTTCGGGGTCGATGAAGGACCCCTTCCTATCAGGTACGGGGTATCCTTGCTCAATGTGTGGGAGGCGGGTGCTTCAATATTGGGTTTAGGAACTTTGGTGTTTAGGGCTTTGCTGGCTCATGGCCTTATGCCCTTTGCACCCAGGTTTTTGGCACCGGCGACAGCCCACATCCAGCCCGTCTCAGGCATCGAGTCCTGTTGACGCTAAACCCTATACCCCGGACCCCTAAACCCTAAGCAAACCCCGATAGATCCAGGGTATTTGTAACCCAATTGTGAGTCCTCTAAGTAGGTTGTAAGTAGACTTATACTTGGAGTGATAAGTCCCCTAAGTGGGTTATAAGTAATTAGACTTATACTTGGGGTTTAGAAGTACCCGTATTTGGCCAGGAAGAAATCCTACCATCGTTCGGTTAAGCAACCTTTTGAGGGCCAAGGAACAGTGACCCCCGTTGCACGACAATCCCTAGGAAACCTAGGCATTGGGCCCTTTTGCAGTTCGACCACATGTTACAAGTATGGCATCTATACCTATAATTTATAACCATACTTAGGGTACTTGTCACCCTAGTTTTAACTACCCATGAACCTGCAAGTAGGCATGGGTTTAAGTTTAAGGTCTCGGGTTTGCAGCCCTACGAGCATTGCTGCGAACGGCTATGGGCTTGAGGGCATTGGATGTCGCCCAGCATCCCGCAGCCGTAGGCAACGAGAGGCCAACCCTAAACCCTAAACCCTAAACCCCAGAACCGATAACCGTAAACCCTGGATAGCATAGTGCTTTTGATGCCCAAAGTGGTCTGTGTGAATGGGGGAAAGGGTTTAGGGTTTAGGGTTTAGGGTTTAGGGTTTAGGGTTTAGGGTTTAGGGTTTAGGGTTTAGGGGCCGTGCACGAGAGTGGGTGACGAGTGAGCAGCGCAGCATAATATAGGGGCCTTATAACAGTTTGAATAGTGTTTTGGGGGGTGGTTATAGTATAAGTATAGAAGGGGCCATGAAGGAATAATATTAGTAATTAATCCGACCCCAATATTACATCCTCAAACTGTTGAATCCCGAAGCTCTGTAAGCCCCGAAGCCTACACCCTAAACACTACCTCAAGAACCCTGAACCTACTTGTTTGGTAGGTTACCGAAGAATCCAATAAGGGGGTTGATAATACCAACCTAGAACAAAAAGTTGGTTTAGGGTTTCTAGGGGTATTTAAATAACAGAAACCTACACAAAAAAAGGTAGGTTTAGGGTTTCTAGGGGATAAAAACCCTCCACTTGAGGCAAGCCGAAAGCGACGAACCAGCTGGCTGCGGAGTTCGTCCAAGCGAGCAAGGCCTTTTGCGAACTGAAACCCTAAATGGAGGTTTAGGGTTTAGGGTTTAGGGCTTAGGGCTTAGGGCTTAGGGTTTAGGGTTTAGGGTTCAGGGTTCAGGGTTCTTATGACCATTCCCGGCCGACTCCCCAAGTCCGGATGCAAAAAAAGGGTACTTGTGAACCAATTAGAACTGTACTTATAACCCACTTATAATAGCCCCTTACGTGCCGTAACATGGTTATCAGTACAGTTGCAAGTACAGTTATAAGTGGTTAATAAGTAACATGAGCCTCCAAGTAAACCCCGTGGTAGCCCAGTAAAACCCAAAGAGCCCAATACCCCTGAATTGAGGAATAGGGTTTAGGGTTTAGGGTTTAGGGTTTAGGGTTTAGGGTTTAGGGTTTAGGGTTTAGGGGTTTAGGGTTTAGGGCGCCTTAATTTATACAGGGGATCCTCAGTAAGGCATATTGTTTAGTCAAAGGGGCATTGGGCTCTTTGGGTACCCCTTGCCCTTTTTTGGTTCAAGATACCCGTAAAGAGTAAATCAAACAAAGGGTGCCCTTACTAACATAGGTTACTGGGCTAACAAGACCCTAAACCCGACACCCTGAAACTTTGAACCCTAAAATCCTGACAACCCTGAATTCTGGACCCGAAAACACCTAAACCCCCAAGACACACCCTAAGCCCTAAGCCCGACACCCGAAACCCCACCCCTTCAACCCCCCCCCCCCCCCCCCCCCCCCCCCCCCCCCCCCATGGTCAGGAGAGGCAAGCCGAGATGCTCAAGGATCCCACCTTCTCGCGCGCCATCCTCCAGAGCCTGGCCGACAACTCGGGAGGCTGGAGGGTTTAGTTTAGGGTTTAGGGTTTAGGGGTTTAGGGTTTGGGGTTTAGGGTTTCGGGTTTAGAGGTTCAGGGGTTAGGGTTTAGGGTTTGGGGTTCAGGGTTTAGGAAACAGGGCTTGGGGATTAGGGTTTAGGATTTCGGGTTTAGAGTTTTAGAGGAACCTCTTTACTTGCTCAGCCAAAAGTTGAACTTTGAGTTTTTTGGGTTTCCTTATGTAGTAGGAATACTAAAATTGAACCTTTTTGAGTCCTTGGTTATTGGAGAAGTCAGTTTAGGGACAGTTTTCAGACCGGTTTGAAGGACCATCCTAGGCTTCTAGGGTGTAGGGTTCAGGGGTTAGGGGTTTAGGGGTTCAGGTTAAAATAATCTCCTTTTACCACGCTCCCCAGCAAGGTCTTGAGCTTTCAGGTGAGGCGGTGCCTTTGGAGATCAAGTCGGTAGACCCGCTTTTTCCGGACGAAGCTGCAGGAATACCCTAAGCCCTAAACCCCAAACCCTGAACCCTGAACCCTTCTGTTGTAGTTCCTGCAGCAGATGGCCCCTGAGCCTTCTACAGTGTTACCACACCCACGGGGTTTAGGGTGTAAGGTTCTGAACACGCCAGTGCCTTGGCTGGACTTTTAATGATAAGTGGGGTTTAGGGTTTAGGGTTCAGGGTTTAGGGTTTGGGGTGTAGGGCTTAGGGTTGAAGAACCACGTGCCCTTTGTGGGGCCCCCTAAACCCTAAACCCTAAACCCTAAACCCTAAACCCTAAACCCCTCCTGACCCCCTAGAGCCGCACACAACTGCGCGGCGAGGCGCTCGGGTTGCGCCCGTGGTGGATGAGGCCTCAATGTTGTGCCACATGCACCCAACAGTCCCCCCAAACCTTCAGGGCTTAACAACTTAGGCTTTAGGGTCTAGGGTTCAGGGTTTAGGGTTTCGGGTTTAGGTTTACGTATTTTGAGTAAGGACCTGAAGCTCCAATGACGTAAGGCATGAATCGACTGTTGAACCTGCAGCCACCGCTACAGGACTCCAGGCGTAGCGTCCTTGAACGCATCAACTTGACCAAATGAACCCTGAAAGGGTTTTGGTTCATATACCTCCAGAGGGATGAAAATAGCGTATATCATCCCAATCATAGGTCCATTTGGTCTGCATGGTAATCGTAATCGAAAGCGTAATGATATTCTCGCAAGTTAAATGTAGAACATGATGGTAGTACAGCCAGGTGATATAGGCATCTGTTCATATACTCACAGATCACCACTCGAACTTTCCACACCCCGCCGAAGTCCAAGCACACTGGGGTCTTCTCGGCGAGTCAGGGATTCGGGTCCATCTTCCCGGCTCTGTGTTGGGTCTCCGCAATCCGGTAGGGTAGGGTTAAGGGTTTAGGGTTTAGGGTTTAGGGTTTAGGGTTTAGGGTTTAGGGTTTAGGGTTTAGGGTTTAGGGTTTAGGGTTTAGGGTTTAGGGTTTAGGGTTTAGGGTTTACCGAGGCTTTGCACTAATTATGCTGGCAGGGCTTGGGGTTTGGGGTTCGTCTTTTGGTGCCTACCAGCTGCCGGCAACTGCTCTTCCTGAAAGCAGAGATGGAGATGTGTCTCCTTCCAGACAATACATGTACAGGGATTATATGTAGACTTCCTGGACTTTGAAGTACCTAAACCCTAAACCCTAGACCCTTATTAAACCCGAAACCCGAAACAACACCCCAGAGTCCCAGAGCCATCCCTTTTGCTGGCAGGCAGCGGAGAAAGCGCTCTGGACGGGTGGCCTGGCTGCATCCACAGTGGAACATTTGGCGGTTTTCGGGGCTCACAACCGTATAAGCCCTAAGCCCATCCTTGTCCAACTCTAAGGGCTCAGAGCTGTTTCAAGAGCACATAGGCAGCACTTCATGTCTGGGCCCTGCGAAGTTGCACTTTTGCAGAAGCTCTGATCGGGGACGGAGGGAATGAACTACGTTCCTTGGGATGCTTTTAACAAAAAACTACGTATGGTTTAGGGTTTGGGGTTTAGGGTTTAGGGTTTGGGGTTTAGGGTTTAGGGTTTAGGGTTTAGGGTTTAGGGTTTAGGGTTTAGGGTTTAGGGTTTAGTGTCATTCACTTCGTTCCCTCATTCGCTTCGGCCAGAAGCCCTCGAAGCTCCAAAAGCTCTGTTGAGGGAGGGTTTTGGGGGATTTTTGGAGGGGGGGGGGAGGGCCAGGCTTGTGATTTCGGGCGCAATCGTGTTTTTGGGGGGGTTGTCTGTCGTTGCTGCCTTGGGTACCCTAAACCCTAAACCCTAAACCCTAAACCCTAAACCCTAAACCCTGGGGGGTGTGGGGTTTGTGGGGTTTTTTGCGAGGCGTCGGGACATTCGGATCTTAGAGGCTTGGGACGTAGAGAGACACCACTCTGAGACCTAATTTGTGCGCAACCTCTCAAGCCCCAAACCCCAAACCCTTAAAGCCCTAAAAAGCGCGAGCCACCCTAGCTTTAGACCATGTGGACAGAGCCACCACTCTGATCAGCGTATATGTTCGACGAACTAAACTAGACATCTTTGAGGAATGTCCTTCCCTTCTCCTTGGATTTGTTAAGCGAGCTCGATTCTTGTATGGGTATTTCCGAAAATAGGGGTACCCAAATACCAAATAGAATAAACGTCCCTTGAAGGGAACCCCACAAAGGGGTAGCCCTGCATTCGTAAGCCCCCCATATCCCACCGAAAGACTACACTAGATGGTGGAGCCATGGCCTCTAAACCCTAAACCCTAAGCCCTACAACCTATATAAAAGCCCTAAAACCCTGAACCCTATAGGGTGCGCAGTCGCAACACTGCGGCACAGAATCCTTTAAGGGGGTATAAGGAGGGACACCGTAGAAGGGACCCTATATATATATATGTATATATATATATATGTATGTATATATATGTATATATATATATATTTGTATACCTTATGCACCTTATTATATTCCCTGTAAGCCTAAGTAGAGCCCCCAGATAACCAATGAATAGCCCCTAAATGTCCCTTAGAAGGGTCCCTCGTTACAGACCCTTTACAAATGAAGGGCCCAGATAGCCGAACCCTTCAAAAGAGGTTGGGACAAACTACCCTTCAACCCTAAACCGTAAACCCTGCACCCTGCACCCGAAACCCTAAACATAAACCCTATAAACCCTATAAACCCTATAACCCCTATAACCCCTATAACCCCTATAAACCCTATAAACCCTATAAACCCAAAAAAACCCATAAACCCTATAAACCCTATAAACCCTAAACCCCTATACACCCTAAAGCCGCAAAGGAGGGCCCATGGAATCTACCCTCAGAACCGGAATATCCGAAGGCTTCAGGAGTTATTTAGAGGGTACACCCTAAACCCTAAACAACCCTAAAACCCTATAAAACCCTATGAAACCCCAAAACCAAAAACAAACTACCCTCAGAACTGGAATCTCCGAAGGCATGCTGACCTTGACGCGGAATGGCAGCAAGAAGCTGCCAGCCCGGGTTGCCCTCCACCACGGTCTCCTGGAGTGGAAGCAGGGGTTTGGGGTTTAGCGTTTGGGGTTTAGGGTTTAGGGCTACAACCTAAACCCCCCTAAAAAAGGGAATGGATTGCGGTTTGCGTACTTCAGAACTCCGAGTGTTCTCGTTCTAGACTAGACGGCGAAGCGTCGAAATGCCCTAAACCCTTAACCCTAAACCCTAAACTCTCCACGAGCAAATGCAAACGGGGCCCCTTCCAAGCCCCCTTTGAACCCAAAAAGGGTGCCCTTCTTGTTCCCAGGTTGCTCCTGGGTCTCGAAGCCGGACTTCGGGACTTCATGAGCTTCAGGGGAGGTTATATTTCGCGCTCCTGTAACCCAAAAAACTACAAAGCAAGACCCCTAAACCCCAAAACTCTATAATTACCCCAAAAGAAGCCCCCTAAACCCCAGACCCGAAACCCTAAACCCGAAACCCTTAACCCTAAACCCTAAACCCTCAACCCTAAACCCTAAACCCCCCCCCAGGCAAGATGCAGGACATCATGGTGGCGGTACGGACTGCCGCTGGCAACTCGAGCCTTCTGGATATCAAGCACCGCGTCCCTTTCGACGAGGCTCCGGGGTTTAGGGTTTAGGGTTTAGGGTTCAGGGTATAGGGTTTAGGGTTTAGGGTTTACGTGGTGGATGGATGGGGGGGACGGGTATGGACGCTGTTGGGCTGAGACTTCATGGACGAAGGGGTTTGAGCTGCAGGGTCGTTTTCGGTCTTCTCAGCATGAGAAGGGCGTAGGGTTTAGGGTTAGGGAAGCTCCAAAGGTAGCTATTTGGTTCCTTAATATGGCCCCATACCTTCAGAAAGGGTTCTGAAGTAAGGGCCCCTTGGGTTTTCTTATAGGGTACATATGGGACATATAAGGGGTCCCCTTCAAAGGGCCCATACGCATGTAACTACCCCTCCCTAAGAGAAGCACTCCGAAAAGGCATTATGCTTGGAGGAATTAGTACTGAATCAAAAGCCTAAAGCCTAAACCGAAACTCTTATCCCTACTTGGAGGTTCAGGGTACTTAAAACCCCAAGCATAACTGTACTTATAAGCCCCGCAAGTCCTCTAAGTAGGTTATAAGTGGTTAGAAGTAGACCTGTAAGTGCGTTTATAAGCCTCCAAGTTTTCGGCGTAGAAACGATCTCCTCAGGTCGCGCGGCGCATATCAACCGGTACGGTTCTCAGCAACTTGGCTGGCACTCCAGGGAATACCTGCCGGCGGGTGGAGGGCATAAGATTCAGCAGCCTCAAGCCAGTACCTAAATAAACCCTCAGAACCATGAATCCCTAGACCCTTTATTAGATCCCTAGCCCCTCAAACCCAAACCCCCAAACTTTGTAGCTGGCACCCAATGTTCGGGTTTTATGCACACTTAATGTCCATCATGCCCCTTCGATGAAATCTCCTGATGTCGGCCTTGAAGCTCTTCGAATCAAGGGACTACAGGAGGGACCCTACAAGGGACTTAGGGGTCATTTGGGTACATAGGGACTCTATAAAGTATATATAGAGGTTATATAGGGCCAGAAGATTTTGGTTCCTTCTAGGGGTCGCTCCTTATATCCCTTAACAGAGTCTGAAGAATTTTCAACCAAAGGACCGCCCCAGTCCCCCCCCCCCTCCCAGCCCTTCACCAGGGGTTTTTCGCTTTGAGGGTCCCTAAACCCTAAACCCTAATAAACCCAAACCCTAAACCCTAAACCCTAAACCCTAAACCCTAAGCCCTTACCTGTGCAGGCCTAGATCCCAGGACGCCGACTGAGCAGCGATCTTTCGACGACTACATCGCCTACTTCAAGACGAAGCGCGCGGGAGAGAGCGGGTTGGAGGGTTTAGGATTTGGGGCTTGGGGCTTAGGTCTTAGGGTTGGGGCCAGCTTACTGCAAACCCGCTGAAGCAGCACAACGCCAGCCTCAACCTCTTCATTCAAACCCCCTCCCCCCCCCCCCCCCCCCCCCCCCCCCCTCCCCAACATCCGCCCCCCCCCCCCCTCCCCCGAGAGAAAACTTCCGGTTCTGGGGTTCTTCTTTAAAATTTAGCTTCCGAGTCTGCTTCCCCGGGGTTGAGAGGGTTAATGAGCTAAGGAATCCAAAAAGAGCGAATCCACCAGAAGCTACCATAGTCCGGTCTGTCCCTAACTGATGGGGCTAGCATATTGTTTCCTTAGATATTCTAAACATTGCTGCACAAAATGTGTTTAGCAATCGGAATGCGCAACAAGGGGTTAGGGTTTCGGGTTACTCATACATTTCGGAACAACGCCCATTAAATTGCACGGCTCTTTAGGTTTCCTTATAATGAGGCACGTGATGATATTGGCCGTGATCTTGATACCTTATGTCGGATAGCATGTTGGCTAAGAGCACCTGTTGCACGATGATACTGATGACGCGGACCCATGAGCGGTGCAGTTGATTCACATACCAGCACGAGATGAAGTCTCAACACAGCAGCCAAATATGTTGTTAAATGCGTCGGGAGATTCGACTCAAAATAAGCAAACTCTGAAAAGCTGTAATTATACTGATAGGGAGTAGCAGAATATCTAATTTACAAACATTTTGCACAAATGCAAATTAAGATTGTTAAAAACTAATTGCTGGCACGTGGTTGCAAGATGACCCTGCAAAAAATCGCTTTTTGGTTCTTTGTAGTTTTTGTTGTTCCGAAGCCTAAGCCCGGACACCCCAAAAGCCTAAACCCGTAAGATTCTCCCTTGAAGCCCTCAAACCAGAAACCGTTGAAATCCCTCAAGCCTTAAAACCATAAGCCCAGAAACCTTGAGGGCTCAAGACCCGTGGAGTCTGATAGAGAGCCTAAGGGTGTAGGACCGAGAGCTTAGGGGTCCAGGGTTTCAGGGTTCCGGGGTTCAGGTGCAAAGGGGGTTTGACGGTTTCGGGATGTAAGGTGTAGGGGTTGTCAGGCGTTGCAGAAGGTGCCCCGTGGATCTAGGCTGCTCCCTCGCCAGTTCTCTTGCCAGAAATCTTTGTCATAGTGGGGTAAAAATGTGCATGTGTAAGGGTAAACTCGATAAGGAATTGAAGTTTAAGTTTTTAACACTACCCCAACCATGAACTAGGAATTCCGAAACCGATCTTCCCGAAACCCTAAAAATCCTAGCCCAGCAAACAGTCTGGGAGCCTCCACAGGCCGGAAGTCCTAGAACCCAAATCCCACAGGCAAATAGTAATCAAGAACCCCGCTCCACCCTAAGGTTTTGCTGACAGGTTGACTGAGAATTCTGGGGGTGGGGCTTAGGGCTTCGGGATACTGCATCGAAGTGTTTTTTTGGTAAATTACTCCATGCACGAAAAAACGGCTAGCACCCTGACCCTCAATCCCTGAACCCTAAACCCTAAACCCAAAACACAGCACCCTGAGCCTCAATCCCTGAACCCAGCCTTTTCGAGGGCTCGGGCGGGCGTTGCCCGCTTGGACGATGGCCTGGCGCTGTACGTCATGCCACCGGGCTTGGAATGCTGATCAGTAGACCCCTAAACGCTAAACCTTAAGCCCTAAACCCGAAACCCTAAACCCTAAACCCTAAACCCTAAACCCTAAACCCTGAACCCTGAACCCTAAACCCTAAGCCCTAAACCCTAACCCTAAACCTTCAAACTTAGGGGTCATGGCATGCTTTGACGGCAGCCACAAGCTCTTCCGAGCTCATTTCGATTCAAGCGAATGGTTGACACTGGGCCTGCAACGGTTTAGGGTTTAGGGTCTAGGGTCTAGGGTTTAGGGTCTAGGGTTTAGGGTGGGTCTCAAAAATCCGTACCACCCGAATCCAAAATGGGCATTTCCCCAAGTAGGGGTACAGTGACAGCGCTGGATAAGAAACCTCTAAGTTTTGGCGAGGGTACCCTCGGTTTCTTAAATATGAAGCCCACTCAATTTCAGGAATTATAGCCTCCACACTTTTGAGGGTACCCTCGGTTTCTTAACGAATTTATTAATGGGATTCGAACTGGCAACGTGTCAATTATATAGTAAGGCGACTCCTTATCCATTAGGCTGATCGCTCAAGTTCTTTATTGGGGGCTCCCCTCAAATGGGTGGTTGTCAAAATTGTGGTCCCTTTTTGGGTCCCTATTAGAATACGGCACCTAGTATTGGGGGTACCCCAAAAGGGATCATAATTTTGACAGCCACCCAAATCGGCAATCCGGCAATACACCCCAAATAGTACCTTATTGTAGGAGCCCTCAAAAAGGGCACCCCTATTTCACCCTAAACCCTAAACCCTAAGCCCGAGCCCGCAAACGAAGCCCGGGAGCTCCTCAACCCTGTGGCCCCAAAACCCCTTGCACCCCCATATCTTAAACTCCCCCTCTCCCCCTAAACCCTAAACCCCAAACCCCAACTCCTTTCCCCCTAAACCCTAAACCCTAAACCCCAAACCCCAACTCCTTTCCCCCTAAACCCTAAACCCCAAACCCCAAATCCCAAAGCCCTAAAGCCCTAAAGCCAAGCCCTGGAAGCATGGGCTCTGCCCAAGCACATGGCAGAAATCAACTTCAACAAGCAACAGTTCGCTCCAACCCCTGCCCTCTTCCCCCCCCCCCCCCCCCCCCCCCCCCCCCCCGGGTATAAAAGGGAAGCTCCTAAACCCTGAACCCTAAACCCTAAACCCTAAACCCTAAACCCTAAACCCTAAACCCTAAACCCTAAACCCTAAACCACTTCCAAGAGTCGCACGGCTCGACTTTCAGGCCCGCCGGCGAAAGCCCTGAGGCGGGAGGATGCAGGGGTTTATGGGCATAGTCCTTAATTATTGGGCGATTTCCTAGGTAGGATAAGGGAGACCCTTACTTGGGTTTAGGGTTTAGGGTTTAGGGTTTAGGGTTTAGGGTTTAGGGTTTAGGGTTTAGGGTTTAGGGTTTAGGGTTTAGGGTTTGACCCTTAACAGGGAACCCTTCTGAACCCTCTTCTGGCTCTCTTAAACAGGGACCTTATTCAGAGGGCAATCCTATCCCCTAATTGAGGCTCTTTGGGTAATGGGTCTGGATCCAGGGCTCATGGCTTCATCTTACAGGGCATGGCTAAGCGCTACACGAGGTTCTAGTCGAAGATCTGATTTTTGGCCGGGGCAGTGAGTCGGCTCAGTAGGATGTGAGGTTTGGGGCTCAGGGTTTTTGGAGAAACTTTCTAGGGTTCCTGTCCCGAGCTTTGAGCGGATTTTGAGCGACTTGTTGGGTGAAAAAAGTCGGTCTTGCTTTGGAAGGACCCTTGGGGGGGTGTCCTCTTGAGGCCTTGAAGGAGCATGTTCAGGGGCCGCCTAGGGCTAGGTTAGCCTTTCTGGAGCTTTTGGATGAACACTAAAAGCCTACACCCTAAACCCTAAACTTGTTGGGCCAGTGTTTCGCAAGCTTGCTGGTTCAACTTGTGCAATTGTGCCGCCTTTTGCGGCATTTTGGGTTTCTTGGTTATTAAGTGTAGGGTTTGGGGTTTGGGGTTTAGGTTTGGGCTTGTTCGTTGTGTTGTTGCAAGGGCAAGGAAAAAACATCTACTCATCCTGGGCTTGAAGGTTGAGAGTTTAGGACTCGTCGCTTAGGTTTTAGGCTTGTAGGGCATCCGCGTTTAGGGTTTAGGGTTTAGGGTTTAGGGTTTAGGGTGCTAGTGATCGTCAGCACTTCAACACGCGGATAACACTCCGCGGACCTGCAAACTCAGAACCCTAAACGCCTGAACCATGCGAGTCTGAGAGCCGACCCCTCAACACCGAAAACAACGAACTCCAAGACTAACCCTAAACCCCAGGCCCCTTAGCCTTAAAGGGTCCTTGAATGGACGGCTTGGAGCATACCCCCTGAATTTGTTGTAGGGGTAAGGCCGTAGGCTAGGTTGAAGACGGGTCGGAGGCCCCCTTGCGCTTACACAAGTGGCATTCCATTTAGCAGCTTCCGAAAGAAAAAAAGTATACTACTGGCCCAAGTTTGGGGAACAATCCATCCATCTCTCCGAACCCGAACCACCCCCCCCCCCCCCCCCCCCCCCCCCCCCCCCTTCTGCAGGTTCTAAAGTCGCTGTATGAGCTGAACACCCACATCCCCCGCAACGGCAGCCTGCTTGGCATCATCGGCACCGCTGGCAACACAGCGTCCTGGCTGAAGACCGGCGTTTTGTGATTCGGGGTTTAGGGAGATGTGGGGCTAATTTGTTTAGGGTTTAAGGTTTAGGGTTTAGGGTTTAGGGTTTAGGGTTTAGGGTTTAGGGTTAGGGGTAGGGTTTAGGGGGTTCTAGGACTTGAGATTGAGAGGGTTTGGGACTTGGGACTTGCGCAAGAGGGTTGGTAGAGTCGATGCAAAACCATATGCGAAGAATGGTCTACCGGGCCACCCCTGCGACCATCACAACATGAAACGGCAGCGCCACTGGATCCTAAACCCTAAACCCTAAACCCTAAACCCTAAACCCTAAACCCTAAACCCTAAACCCTAACCCCACCCAAACCTGGAAGCCCCCAACCCCCTGAACCCCCCAAAGCCCTAAAGCCTTGCTTGTCTTTTATAAGCAGTTTCCATTGTAAGTATCCTGCTGTTTCGATGTTTCGTTCCCATGCTGTGTTGTGTCATGTATAGCCCAAACCCTAAACCCTAAACCCTAAACCACAAACCCTAAACCCTAAACCCTAAACCTGACCAAAAACCCCTTCTTCATGAACCCCTGAAGCCTGGGTTCAGACTTGGAAGGCTCAGGATCCACCCGAAACCCGACGCCCTACTCTAAGTGGTGCTCCTAGGGTTTAGGGTTTAGGGTTTAGGGTTTAGGGTTTAGGGTTTCCACCCCAGACCCTGAACCCCACAAACCCCCGCACCCCGACCCTGAAATCTTGAACTCTTCGACCTTGAACCTTGAACCTCAAACCCTGAATCTTTGCTCTATAGGCCCGAAAATCTTGAAGCCCAAGCCCCTTAAATCTTTTCTCTACGGACCCTATGAATCTTGAATCGCCAGCACGGCCTCGACCCTCAACTCTCACCCAAAGAGCCCAATACCTCTGAATTAAGGAATATACCTTAATTTATAAAGGGATCCTTAGTATGATTTAAGGTATATTCCTCAATTAAGGGGTATTGGGCACTTTGGGCACCCCTCAACCCTTAACCCGGCTGGCGGTGCCGCCGCCGCATCCGGCGAGAGTGGAGCTGGAAGGGACAGCCGACTATCCCTATGTTCGGCCTGACGACATTTTCCAGCCGCCAGTTTACCAGCCCTTGAGGCCTGTCCCGGGCGTGGACATTCTGTGGAAGCTGAAAGAAAAGGGCCATCGTTTATCAGGATTTGGTTTACGTCCTTGCACTGCGCATTGCGGTTACGCCTGTTCCAGACCGGTCAGCCACACTGCCAAAAAGGCACATGAAGGGCATGAATGTGACATATGCCGGTGATCTGTTGTCGATCTGTTTGCGCTGCAGCACTACTGCTTCTCCTGGGACTCCGCGCAGGGTGCGTGCGCCGACTGCAAACGATGGCGATCCGTGCAAGGGCAAGGTCTAGGGTTTAGGGTTTAGGGTTTAGGACTTAGGACTTAGGGTTTAGGGTTTAGAGTTTAGGGGCAAGGTCAAGCGGGTCCACAAGTGCAGAATCTGCTTGAGCCCGGGCCATAGGAGCACGGACTGCCCTTGGATATTACCCTTAACCCCTAAACCTTTAACCCTAAAACCCTAACTCCTAAACCCTAAACCCTAAACTAACCTCAACCCCTAAACCCTAAACTCTTTTTACGAACCCCTTCAACTCCAAACCCTAAACCCTTGACTAAACCCTTAAACTCCCCAAACCTTTTAAACCCCTAAATCCCTAAACCCCTAAACCCCTAAACCCCCTAAACACCCCTGGCAAGGTCAGCAGCGCCGGGGAGAAAAAGGCGGAGCCGGTCAAGGTTGGACTGGGCGTTTTGTTGTTTTGTTTTTTACCACGAACTGCTTCAGCGAACCCCCCCCCCCCCCCCAAAAAAAAAAAAAAAATCAAAGAAAAAAGCAAGAAGCAACAGGGTGTAGGGTTCAGGGCTTAGGGTTTTGGGTTTAGGGCTTAGGGTTTAGGGGTTATGGTTTAGGGGTTATGTAAAGCGTAACCCCTTACTTACGGCAGATGTCGCGGTCCTCCCCAGGGTCCCTTCTTGGAGTCGGGAGGTTTGGGGTTTAGGGTTCAGGGTTTAGGGTTTAGGGTTTAGGGTAAGGGTTTGGGATTCCCAAGCTGTCAGGTTCGTGGGTAGCCCTGAAGTCGGGGTTTATACGCATCTTGAAGAAACTTATGGTAAAGCTTGCCAATGCTTGCAGCTACCTTTTGGGGGTTTACGATTTTAGGGGTACCTTGTTGCGGGCCTTTGTTCAGGGGATCTTGCTATTAAAGGGTCTACTTCCAGCTCTGACGCGGCAAGCAACATGAGACCCTTTGGCCCTACGACCGTTTCAAGGCTTCTTGTTCTTGTGATTCTCAAGCTTCTCATGGTTATGCAGATGATGACTACGATTGCTATTATGCGCCCTAAAGTCTAAGCCTTTAACCCTAAACCCTACCCTAAACCCTAAACCCTAAGCCCTAAACCAAAACCTCTTTCCTTGTGGGTGTCTTGACCGCGGCAAGTTCATGACGTGCGCGCGCGCAGGAGGCTGCTGCAAGCGAGGTGGCACCGGCGGGTGAAGGCGCACCCCTAAACCCTAAACCCTAACCCTAAACCCTAAACCCCAAACTTCAGAGCCCCCCGAGCCCTAAACCCCGAAGGGTTTGTGGGTTTTAGGGTTTTAGGGTTTCAGGGTTTCAGGGTTTTGGGGTTTTGGGGTTTTAGGGTTTTAGGGTTTTAGGTTTTTAGGGTTTTAGGGTTTTAGGGGTTTTAGGGGTTTTAGGGTTTCAGGGTTTTAGGGTTTTAGGGTGTTAGGGTGTTGGGTTTAGGGTATTCGGGTGTTAGGGTTTAGGGTTTTGTGTTTGGGGTTAGGGCTTAGGGATTGGAAGCAAAAAGGGTACTAAGGGTACCCTTTTATTCGGCTACTCTTGGGTCTAGAGAAGTGTCCTTTCAGGATGAACTCTTGTATTCTGGGGGGAGTACTATACGAAATTTATTCCGACCCCCATATTCGAGGGCTTGGGACTGTGCAGCTGGCTTTTTTTTTGTTGGGGGGCTTTAGGGTTTGCGTTTAGGGTTTGGGGTTGAGGGTTGAGGGTTTTGGTGCCCTGAAGCTAGTTTTCAAGGTGCAGGGTTAGACCTTTTTGTCGCGGGGTTCCGACCATAAGCCAGTCGCATGGTGGGGTGGATCAGATCAGGGGGACCTCTACCCTAAACCCTAAAACCTCAACTTTGGGAACTATCATCCCTTTTAAGGACTCTTAGTATAAGGGGAGCATCCTAAGATGAATGCCTTAAGCCTGAAGCCCTTTGAGGCTTTGTGGGTTTTGGGAGGGTTTAGGTGGCTTAGGGCGTGAAAACCAAAAGGTGGCTTTACTTGGAGGTTCTTGGGTAGCTACAAGTGGGGCGCTAAGAATGGCAACTCTACGTATACCCATATTCCGCGTAGTTACTTAGACTTAGAAACCCCAAACCCTGAACCATAAACCCTAAACCCTAAACCCTAAACCCTACGTATAACTACCCATGAGCCGGGCACGTTCGTACACGCCAGTGTGGCTTGCCGAGGCGATGGGGCGGGTGAAAACATCTCTTCGAAGGACCAGCTCTCCCGCGATTGCAGGGTTTGGGGTAAAGGGTTTAGGGTTTAGGGTTTAGGGTTTAGGATTTAGCGCTTCCGGAGACTCCATTATGTGATTAGTTGGGGGGCCGAACAAGAACTGCGAGCAGAGGTCGGCAGCAGAGTGCTGCCCCGTCCTAAACCCAAAAGTGTTAAGTCGAAGGCGCTCAACGAATGTGGCAATCTCTGGGGGTAATTATATAGACCAAGCCCCCTGGGGCGAGACATGCTCGTGGGAAAATACTTCCTGCATGTGAGGAATAGGAAGCCCATCGTCCCCATACTTCGTGACTTGCCCCAGGAAGGCCTGTAGCTCCGATGCCATGAAAGCTGTTAGGGTTTAGGGTTTAGGGCTTAGGGTTTAGGGTTTAGGGTTCAGGGTTCAGGGTTTAGGGTTTAGGGTTTAGGGGATAGGGTTTAGGGTTTAGGGTTTAGGTCTCTTCAAAGGACTTGGCTCAAATTCCCTAAACCCGAAACCCTAAACCCTAAACCCAACAAGATGGCCTGAAACCGCCTGAGGCCAACCCTGTACCCCTTTCAGGAGCTGATGGACCTTTTCTCGAACCCAGACTTGATCAAGCTGCTCTCCGACAAGGAGTCACGTGGGGTTTTGAGTTTAGGGTTTATAGGGTTTAGGGTTTAGGGTGTAGGGTTTAGCCTTCAGCCCCATCGTTACGCCGCACTTGACGGCATGCGGGAAGTCCTGCAAATACCAGCCCAAAACCCTATGGGCCCTCAAAAATCCCGACCCCTCCACGCAGACGCTGCCCTCTCTACGTCCGTGTTACCAGTCCCTGCGATTGGCCGGAGCATCCATGCCCGCACGATGACCCAGCTTGTTTTTGGTAAAACACAACTGATTTGTGATCCGGATTGCCTAGGGTTTGGGGTTTTGGGGTTAGGTGTTTTCAGGGTTGTACTGTTGACTCATACCTCTGTGCAAGTTTGCGTTTTTCGCAGAACGCGAACCTGGAAAATGACGCTTTCCTAGCCTGCGTAAGTGCCGAAAGTGCTGTAAATACCGGGTCAAACGCAGCTTTTTCTACTTAGCTCAGAGTTCCTGCGCGGCAAGACGTCCGGGCGAAACGTTTAGGGTTGAGGGTTTAGGGTTTAGGGTTTAGGGCTTCGGGTTTAGAGTTTAGGGTTTTAGGGTTTAGGGTTTGTGTTGTTCTGTCGCTCTGTGTTTTTGTTCAGGGCTTGCCCCCTTGGATTAGATCCCACGTCGTTGGGGCGCCATACGATGGAAGATATTTAGTACCTGCATAAGGACTGTCATTTTGCGTCTATCTCTCTCTACATATACATCTACATATACATATACATATATATATATGTCTATATCTATATATGTGTATCCATATTCACATATACACAGATATAGATGTGTGGGTGCGATTTTTGTGTCCGAGCTTGGACCAAAGTCCCTGGCAGGATGGCGAGGACAAGGGGAACTGAGAGCGGAGCGTGGCCACCTCTTGGCAGCGGGTTGGGGGTTTCTCGCATTCAAGACATCAGGGTTTGGGGTTTATGGTGCAGGGTTTAGGGTTTCAGGCATTAGAGAAGCTGGCGCACAGCCGCCCTGCCAAAACCCCAAACTCTGCCAAACTTTAAACTCTGAGGCCTAAACCAAGGAGCCCACAGTCTACAAGTTCTAAAGACATAAGGGTTTAGGGTTTAGGATTTAGGGTTTGGTTAAGCCCTAGACCCTAATTAAACCCCAGGATCCCAGCCCCTAAATCCTAAGGACCTAACCCGAAACCCCACCATTCCAAGACCAGCACCTTGCCGTTGAAGTTTCACACCCTAAACCCTAAACCCTAAACCCTAAACCCTAAACCCTAAACCCTAAACCCTACACCCTAGACCCTAGACCCTAGACCCTAGACCCTAGACCCTAGAAACCCTAAACCCTAATTTTTGAGCCCAAGTTAGATGACCCGCCTCGTGGGGCAAGCTCGGCCGCGTCATCTTGAATGGATGAGGATGTGGTCAGGGTTTGGGGTTTAGGGTTTAGGGTTTACGGTTTAGGGTTTAGGGTTTAGGGTTTAGGGTTTTTAGCTTAGGCATGAGGCTTGTCTTGGAGTGAGCAGGCGGGTTGAGGGCCATCAGCTTGAGCGATTGCTGTTTTAAAAAGGGTTCAGGGTTCAGGGTTGAGGGTTTAGGGTTTAGGATTTAGGGTTTAGGGTTTAGGGTTTGAGGGTACTTAACACACCCCAAAGGCCAGGAGGGGAGGCGTTTCAAAGCCTTGCTTGCACGCACGCCTGTCCGATGATCATGGGCTGCTGGCTGTTGAATTTTAACGTTTAGGATGTCGAGTTTAGGGTTTAGGGTTTAGGGTTTAGGGTTGAGTCCAAAACCTTGCGCCGCCCAGGGAGCACAATGTAAGCAAGGCAGTAGTTTGTTCTCAGAGCTCCTCAAGACCCTAAACCCCAAACCCTAAACCCTAAACCCTAAACCCTAAACCCTAAACCCTAAACCCTAAACCCTAAACCCTAAACCCTAAACCCTAAACCCTACCATGTCAAATTGAGCAGGCTTGGGATTCAGGAGTGGTTTAGGACAATTTTACATGTTTGCACCATGCCTATTGGCATTGGGTATTTCCCCAAAATAGGGGTACCCCCTTAGCTACCCCCAAAATATAAGAGAATCCCTTTAAAGGGACCCCCCAAAAAGGGCACCCCTGTTTTTTGGAAACCCCCATATGGACCAGGGCAGTGCGACCTGCCTCCGGCAACGCCTACATCCCAAGCAAGTCGCAGTTGGGTGCCTGAAGACCCCTAAACCCCAAACCCGGAAAGACCTAAGTCCATGCAGTTAGGTGCCTGGACACCCCTTAAACCCTAAACCCTAAACCCTAAACCCCAAGCCCAAAAGACCTAAAGGCACAGCCCATGTTCGTTCACGCAGCATGCGCTATGATTCCCAACCGCCACTTTCCAAGAGGACAGGCTCCGTGCCCTTTCAGCTTGAGGCTTCAGAGCCCATGCTTTGAGTTTGCAGTCTTAGGGTTGAGGGTTTAGGGTTTAGGGTTTAGGGTTTAATTAGGGTTCGGTTTAGGGTACCTGCTTTACAGAGTTGCGCGCCCCCTGTTCCTTGCCCAAACCTAAACGCAGACGGTAAACCCCTGAAGCCCTTCGCAACCTAAGGGTTTAAGATGCAGGGTTTAAGGTCTAGGCTGAATAGATCGTCTGATTGTAGCCTTGCGGCTGACGCCCAGAAACCACGAGACGCGTTAGGTCTGTGGGCTGCGATTTTGTCCCACAAGTGGTTTTGAGCCAAGGGTCTGAGGTTCAGGCTGTACTGTTTCTATTGCGGCGTCGAGGTTTCTAAGTTCAAGCATCGGAGCATTGTCATCAGCTTGCTTAGCCTTGCTTGTTTTCACCTGTCGGCGAGAGATGGATTGGATCGGGAGACGCCATTTAGGGTTTATATAGGGTTTAGGGTTTAGGGGGGAGTCCTGGATTTTGTCGAGGGTTTGGGCCTTGGCTGAACCCTGATCAACGCTGAACAACCCTAAACCCCAAACTGCAGCACGACTCCGTCCTCCTGGAATTCCGACCACGTGGGGAGTTGCACAGCATTGTGGGTGTTGTGTTTGTGGCGATCGAACTTTAGAACCTGTATGCTGGGATGTTCCCCCTTCTACTAACAGCCCTTAATAGGGATGCTAATCGCGGGTACGATGATCCCTACTAAGGACTGTTAGTCTAAGGGGGAACATCCCAACCTGTATGCTTGCAGTGCTCCGGTCCCTGACCCCCAAACCAGGCATCAATGTCAGCATTTCAGACTTAGGGTCCCGAAACCCTGAACCCTGAACACTGAACCCTAAACCCTAAACCCTAAACCCTAAACCCTAAACCCTAAACCCTAAACCCTAAACCCTAAACCCCACTCTTAGGGCTCAGGGTTCGGGGCTCGGCCAGAGGGGCAGCGGCCATCGTCTTCTACGAGGGTTTTAAGTAGGGTTTGGGGTTTAGGGTTTAGGGTTTAGGGTGTAGGGTTTAGGGTTTAGGGTTAGGGTTTAGGGTTTAGGGTTAGGGTTCAAGAGCTCTTGGTCGAGCAGTTCCTCGTTTAGGCTCTGTGTTTAGAACATCGAAAAATACCCACCCACTTGAAGTTCCCATAACATTAAGAAATATAAAGTTTCTTCTTGTGTTAGGATGGTTTAGTAACAAAATGAATGGCTTCCACTTAACAAACGAGGAGGTGGAGATACTAAACTACGCGAGCCTTTGAGGTCTTGAAGCCCTAAACTGAGGCCTTGAAACCCTAAACACCAGGCCTTCAGGCTTTGAAACCCTAAACGTTCGGCCTTGAACCCTCAATATTAGGCCTTGAGGCCCTGGAACTCTAAACGTCAAGCCTTAACCACCCGGCCTTAAGGACCTGAACACTAGGACTTGAGGTCTTGACACCCTAAAAACCAGGCCTTGAAGCCTTGAAACGCCTTGAAAAACTAAACATAGGCGTTCACCAGGCCTTGAGGCCCTGAAATCCTAAACACCAGAACTAGGTTGTGAAAAGGTCGCGGGGGCAGCTCTTCCTCAGAAAAACCCTGAAAAAACCCTAAGAAACATGGAAAAACCTTATTCTATACATGAAAAATTTTGAAAAACCCTGAAAAACTTGAAAAAACACGGCTTTGAGGCCTTGAAACCCTAAACGCTGGACCCTGAAACCCTAAACACAGGCCTGGAGGCCTTGAAACCCGAAACGTTGGGCCCTGAAACCCTAAACACAGCCCTGAAGCCTTGAAACCCTAAACGCTTGGCCCTGAAACCCTAAACGCAGGCCCTGAAACCCTGAAACCCTAAACACCAGGACTTGAGGCCTTGAAACCCTAAACGCTGGGCCCTGAAACCCTAAACACAGGCCCTGAGGCCCTGAAACCCTAAACACAGGCCCTGAGGCCTTGAAACCCTAAACGCTGGGCCCTGAAACCCTAAACACAGGCCCTGAGGCCTTGAAACCCTAAACACAGGCCCTGAGACCTTGAAACCCTAAACGCTGGGCCCTGAAACCCTGAAACCCTAAACGCAGGCCCTGAGGCCCTGAAACGCTAAAGAACAGGCCCTGAGGCCTTGAAACCCTAAACGCTGGGCCCTGAAACCCTAAACACAGGCCCTGAGACCTTGAAACCCTAAACACAGGCCCTGAGGCCTTGAAACCCTAAACGCTGGGCCCCTAAACACAGGCGCTGAGGCCTTGAAACCCTAAACGCTGGGCCCTGAAACCCTAAACACAGGCCCTGAGGCCCTGAAACCCTAAACACAGGCCTGAGGCCTTGAAACCCTAAACACAGGCCCTGAGGCCCTGAAACCCTAAACACAGGCTTTCAGGCCTTGAAACCCTAAGCTGGGCCCTGAAACCCTAAACGCAGGCCCTGAGGCCCCTGAAACCCTAAGAAACAGGCCCTGAGGCCTTGAAACCCTAAACGCTTGCCCCTGAAACCCTAGACACAGGCCCTGAGGCCCTGAAACCCTAAACACAGGCCCTGAGGTCTTGAAACCCTAAACGCTGGGCCCTGAAACAAAGGCCCTGAGGCTTTGAAACCCTAAACACAGGCCCTGAGGCCTTCAAACCCTAAACGCTGGGCCGTGAAACTAAAAGCACAGGCCCTGAGAGGCCTTGAAACCCTAAACGCTGGGCCCTGAAACCCTAAGCACAGGCCCTGAGGCCCTGAAACCCTAAACACAGGCCCTGAGGCCTTGAAACCCTAAACACACGCCCTTAGGGTCTCAAGGGCACTTTTGGGCCTTGGGCCTTGCCCACGAATTTTTGGGCCTTGCCCACGAATCTTTGGGCCTTGCCCACGAATATTTGGGCCTTGCCCACGAAGACCATTAAGGTTTATAATTATACGGTAGGAGAGGTTTAGGACCTTAAAGGGCTTTGAGGGTTTTAGGGTTTGGGACTTATAGGGTTTCCTGGAGGGATTTCTACCTTGAGGGACCCAAAACCCTAAACCCAAAACCCTACACCCTAAACCCTAAACCCTAAACCCTGTAAAACATGGGCCATCTTCAGGAGATGTTGGTGCAACTCGGGTGAGAAAGTAGAGACAGTCAATGGCGACCCCGCGAAGTCAGCTGCGCAAGCGAACAAAATGTGGCTTAAGAGCCTAAACCCTAAACCCTAAACCCTAAACCCCAAACCCTAAACCCTAAACCCTAAACCCTAAACCCTAAACCCTAAACCCTAAACCCTAAACCGCACGTTGGGGAGAGGCTCAGGAGTCTTCAACCTTGTGCCCAGAACCGGCAAGAAAAGCTGAAGCCTAGACCCCAAACACCTAAGGTTTAGGGTTGAGGGTTTAGGGCTTAGGGTCTGAGAGTTTTGTTGAGCCGTTCCGCCCAGGACATGATAGCCCGGATGCAAACAGGGTTTAGGGTTTAGAGTTCTAAGCCCCAACAAACCGCAAGAAAAGACAGGTCCACTAAGATGCAAGA